GGGAATAGACCTAAAATCGAAAGTAAAGTTCCTCAACTACTTTTGGATTTAATGAATAAATGTTTAGATGCTGAACCTCATAACAGACCAACTGCTAAAGAATTGGTCAATAAGCTGGAACAATTTTTTGAAGATTTAAAAAATGAAAAAACCGAATTATATAAACAAGTTAAACCAATTAAAGATTCAGGCGAAAATCCTTCAACACATAATCAAATTAACTCGGCAAGAATCAATTATCGGACACATTCGCAGGCTATTTACACGAGCCGACTTTTGAATTTTCAAAAAGTTCCTAAGCCGGTAAATAAATCGGTAAATCTAGGTAAGAATATTAAAATTAACAGTGAATCACGACATGCAACGGATAGTTCAAGACAAATTGATTATGATATTTTATCGTTTGTTACTTGAAGATAGATTTATTGTATCTATATTTAATTAGTCTTTCTATATTAAGCATCTAATCTATCAAGTTCTATCAAGTTATTAAACTAACTAATTTTTTAAACATATTTTAGTAAGTCAATCGGTGGAACCAAATTTTGACGATTAGTGTCAACTTTTGACCTTGACACATATAATTTTCAAATTTAAAATTTGTTGGTGGGCACGAATTAAACAAAAAAAAGCATTTACAATTTAAATATTTCTGATATTTTCTTAGCCTTTATTTTTTTGTGGGTATAGAAATTATGTATGTTATGATATTACTATATTTATTTGATCGCACTGTGTAATGCAAAATCGATATATATACATTTACTTATACTGCTATAAATTATACTGTATATATTACATTATCATTAGTAAAGTTCCAAGAAATCTCTCTAGATGAATGTGTACCCTCTATGTAAAATTTCTTTCGTGCACAGTATAGTCCAATCTCAGCAGTATATTTTTGCCTTTATAGCATTGTATACCTTTCTAAGTTGCACAATTTTGAAATTTTTTACTGTGGGAATGCACTTAATAGCAACTTGCAAAAAATTGTAGTTATTTTATTTACTGCAATTTTCAAATTACTGTGATCAGTAATTTTCATACATCACACCGGGAATCAAAAATCTAGAAAAAATGCCAATACATAATTGGCTAAGAATTATTTTTAACCAATCACAAATTTGCATTTATTCTAGATTTCTGATTTCCGATGTGATGTATGAAAATCACTGATCACAGTAATTTGAAAAGCGCAGTAAATAATATTATAACTCAACACATCATGATTTTTTTTTAAAAAACGTGTTTAAAAATATATTACAAAAAATATATTAATACCATTTTTGCTTGATTATAGATTTATTATGGGTTTATAATATAATAAAAACGTTTTGTAGTATTATGAAAACAAATTAATGCTTTCATAATTATAAAACCCATCATAAATCCATAAAAGCAAAAAAACGTCATTAACAAATTTTTGATATATTTTAAGCAGACCTTTTTTTTAAAAAAAATAGCATCATTAAAACTGTAAAATGGTTTGAAATATATTATATATCATTTTAAAATAAAGTAGGTTTCTATGTAGTTACAGTAATTGCATGATCATTATCATCAATGATAATTCTTCATCAAAAAAATTTATGCTAAATATACAATAAGACGAAAGATTTTTACATGGGATACTAATTTACCACAAATATTAAATCTCACAAACATTTCGGGATTCTAAAATTATTTTATAGTTTTATATTCTTAAAATTTCAATTATTGAAGCAATAATTGATGATGTAATTTTATTAATGATATTTTCATTGCCATTGTTCTTTGCAAAATTCCAAGAGTTTAAGAAGCAGTAATTTTCTTTCATGAAAACATCTTTATAATGGCACTGAACATGAAAATACAAATTTTTATACTGTACAGCATGTACATTAGTTCAATATAAAAAGTAAGAGCTTTAAGAAACTTCTTTTAGAACTACACGTTCGTTGGCATCTGTGTAATGTGTAATAGATTGATAAGCCATAATGCTGATATCCGTTTGATTCTCTATCAATATTGTTGCCGCATTTTCTTTTAGTTTGAAAATTGCTGTATGTTTTATCAATCCAATCTTTTTTACAGTGTGTTGTGACTAATCAAAAATCAGAGTATTAGAGTAAGATTAATGTTAGAATTAGTGTTAGGGCCAGTTTATACGTAATGTTAACCAAAATAAAATTTAATAAGGTACAACGTTTATAAAAATCTGGGTTTTCAAAAATTTTCTATTTTTTATGACGAAATTTAATAATTCTAGCTGCGTGTTAGTTCCGCGTGTGTAATGGCGTTGTTTATTTTTTATCCGTTCATCTGGTTGAAGCGATCTTAACTGCTAAGCATTCTAAGCCATAAGATCTCGGTCATCAAGAACAAGATTCGATTATAGCCGGAGAAACCTAAATAAGTAATCGATAAAAGCTATAAAATTTGCCATTTCTTTGGACGAGCTTAACTTTCAATTTTACTTAGAAAAATTTTTTTTTAAATTATATATTTTTTTAAAAATGGTTAAATTTAATTTATATGTAGTCTTAATCTTTGCATTTTTTGTGATTTCAGCCATAATGATATATGCAGCTACAACTGATGATTGTACTAAGTGTACGGCAGCGGACAACGACATGCTCACTTGTACCAACTCTACTAAGGAAACGCTCAATAAAGTAACACCAAATCTTGCACTGAAATGTACATGCCAGCAAACCTTCATCAATGAATATGCAAGGTAAGTAAAAATTCCTAAAGTTATACATGGGAACCATTAGTTATCCAACTATTTTTATGAATAGTTGCATCAAATCAATTATATCATAGTTGCTTTAAGTGTCCAATGGCAGTTGAATATTTAAAAGGCAATAAATCACCTTCTGTCAATGGTGAGTAATAAATACATATCTTGCTTGAAATTGGCACATGCCTAGAATTGCACCGTACTACTTCAGGTGGATGCCATGACATATACTGTACATTATTTTCGTTCTTTTATAATTAATAATGTATTATTTAGATCTCATTATTAATTGCGCAAGCCATGGTTATATTGGCCTGACCACACCCAAATAACGAGCTATATTTTCCTTTCTTATATTAAAGTTAAGTTCCTCCGCACACTTTAGAAGCTTAAATAAATTATAAACACGTTTTTATTTATTTATTTTATTTATTTATTATTAATACATATATATCAGATATATATATATATTTAATGAATAATTTAAAAATTTTTTTATATCTTGTGAATTGCTCATTTTTCTGCATCTTAAAAAAAATTCATTTATCGTTATGTACAATACGTACTAAAGTATCTATCCGATTAAAATTTCGATGCGGATACTATTGATCGATCTCATAAATAGTAAAGAAAATTTTTTTTCGGACATTAAGGCTGTGAGCTATCTTTATTTCATGTTTTTAGCCTGTTTTCTCGATCAATTATGATGTACGGCATTCCAGATAGAAACCCCAAACGTTTTTTTTTTTTTTGTTTCAAATAACAGCCAATCTAAAAGAATTATTTGATCAGGGATTCTATAAATAACCTCAAACTTCGAGAAGTCATCAAAGAACTCAAAATAGAACAGAAGGCAATTTTTTAATTCATTGCTGAAGTACGTACGTACGCAATAGAGATGCCAACAATACTCATAATAAAAATTTAAACTAGCAATGTAATCTGTTTCCGGTAAGTTGCGATAAAACAATAAACTAAGAAACAGTAAAAAGTTTACTTGAACATTGTCTTTTAATATAGTATTTAAAAATTAATATTAGCATTTTAACATTTATTGCATAATTTTTTAAAGCTAATTATTGTCGCTCTCAATCCCTAATATTTCGTCAACAGTATTCGATGCTTCAGAAACCCATATTTCAACGACTTTACTTAATACTGGTTTAGATTACATTTATTATGTTTTTGTTGTCGACAACTAGAAAATTCATTTGTTCTATTGCGATTGACAATTTCTTTTTCTTTTTTTTTTATCAACATATTTCTGATCGAGCCCGACTATCAGAATTAGATTTTTTTTTATTGCTGTAATTGAAGAAAAAACTGATCAATTGTTAATAATAATTGAATATTATCAATTTATTTGATATATATATTGAAATAAGAATTGTAAATTTAGATTATTTGCACTTATCAGTGAGGTGTGCTTAATCGTCACGTATTATAACTCATGTAAACATTGACTTCTGTTGTGATTTTCATTATACGTATTAATCATGTAAGTTTTGGCGAGCGTGCGTACGTACGTATTTAGTTCGTACACACCAAATCTACAGCTCAATCGAAGTTTAACTTATTTAGGATAAGGGCTGATAATACCGATACGTACAAGTTATTTAAATAGTTTAATACGGGAAGGCATTGCATACAATAAACATCAACGCCTGCTCCAGCCACTTTACGTAAAATAACTAGAGCTGTCATACCTTTTTTTTTCTTTAAACAAGTACTGCGGAATCTGCGGTGCGCAGATTGAACCGCAAGTAAAATTTTCCTTGAATTTGCGGTTTTTTTTTCGCATATTGAAACAAAATCGAATTTTAAACATTGTCTTTACAAGTTTTGAAAGCCATAATAAGCTACAACTCATTTCTATTTTAATAATTTGCCCATTCTTTATATAACTACTATAAGAAGTCGGCGTTTTATAGGCTGGTCAATCCTTAAATTTTGAAATAGGATTTTAATATCGTAAAAAAATAAATAATATAATAACTCTTACTATATTTTTATTTTAAACTGTAATGATTAAAAGAGATCGCATTAACTCTTGATAGACTTGAATCATAACAAGTTTCTGGCGTTATTTGTTTGATTCATTTGAATTATTTTTAGAAATTATCCGTTGTTATAGTTTGTCATTGTTTAAAATTGAAAAACAAATAAAAAATAAATTTTCAACGTAGCAATTGTCTTTTACGTTTTTATCTAATTTTGATTGTGTATAGAATTAATATGGACTAAAAAATGAACAAAACATGAAATTATCGTTATTGACAACTTTTGTTAAAATTCAGAAATCACATGTCGGGAAAATATCTGGTATGTTTAATCTTAGCGAAATTTAGTATCAAAGTTATATTAAAAATCGTACTTATTTTTTTTTTTTCGTTAAAAGTCAGCAAATACAGCAGTATATTTTATGAAGAGTCTGCTACGTATTATATTTTAAACCAAGATTTTGAATCCAACAATCGAATTGAGTTCAATTTAGGTTCAATGGTTAGATCCAGAACTTAAATTAGGGCTAGTTGAACCTGGATTCAGACATTTCTGAAATTCAATAAGTAAGGCTTGAAAGGTTTCATTTCGCTCTCTCACTTCCTGTTAATTAATCTATAATATGTAATTTACTAGCTTTTTTTTGTATACTATAGCTAGTATATAAAAAAAAAAAGTCAATTTTGTTAAACAATTAGTAAATTTGCATAATTGATAATTTTGTTAAAACAATTAGCAAGTTTGCATAATTGATAATTTTTTAATAAACTATAGAAAAACGGCGACGTTTTGTGGGCTGGAGTTCTGATTCTTAGGTCTTATTTATGCTTTATAAATTAGTGAATACCTTTCTGACATCAATTGCCTCTGCTACATCTAATGTTACATCTAATGCTAATATAACTAAAGAAAATGATTCTTACGAGTAGAGAAACAGCATCACGAAACTTTCTGAGAAGATTATGACCATCACTAAGTTGACAGTTTGATGATGTTTCGATTTATTTCTTTTAAATTTTAATTTAAAATTCGTACTATTATTTACGATATCTTCTTTACTTATCTGCTCGTCTTGATTTTTGTTCTCTTTCGATTTAATATGATTATTGTTAGTTGTTAACTGACTTTTACACGATCCTGCATCTTTTCTGATTCGGTATGTGGTTCTTTTGTGTTTTTGCATTTTAACTAAAAAAAAGAGCATTTAAAAAAAGAAGCATGAAAATGTTTTTATTTATTGATGTTCGCTTAAGATACGATGACATATAATGATGATATTTAATACTAATTATTTCTGATTTTCTAAATGATATGCTTATCCTTTTATTACAAATCAATTTATATATTAATTAAGAGAATTATAGACAAACCATTGCTCATAATAATATATTTCACGTTAATTAAAAGAATTTAAAAATTTTTTGCCTCTATTAATATGATATTGTCGCATCGACAAAGAGAATTATTAAAAAAAAGAAACCTTACCCTAAATATCTTCTCTATTGCATTCTATCATGTGAATGATAGAATTTAAAACCTTCGTAATACCATTGCAACCGTAAGAGATTATAAAAAACCTTAACAAGCCAAAATTGTCATACAAACTAAAGAATTATTTTTAAGTCTTGCATAAAATTTAAATTAATTTATGCCTTTATTTTTAAAACTTTCTAGCTAAATAAACTTACTAAAAATAAATGCAATGCTTCATTATTTTTTTGCAATTTGGTTATTTTAAAACTCAAACTAACCCTAGACTCATATTCTAAATACATTAATTAAAATTACCTCAACAATAACCACAAAGTAATCTCACAATCACCTTTTAAACAGTATAAGAACATACATATTTCCTGCGTTAGCTCGTTGTCTTTAGTATATTTGTCGTTTCACTTCAGAACTTCTTATTAATAAAATCTTTATGGTAAGATCTTTCAACTCCAAACACTGAAATATATAGTCTAAATGCAAATTTTTTTGTGATTTTTAGCTGCCAAAGAAAATTCTGTAGCCGGAATTCCAAGTTCATTGCCTACTGGATTCAGCTCATTCGATTTTTAAGGAGTCCGATAACGATAATTTCATGTTTTTTTCATTTTTTTGTCCATATTAATTCTATA